CCATGTCCCGTGAAAAACCACTGCAAGTTCCAGACCCAACACGTTCAAGTCTCTCCGCCTATGGGCGCCAGGCCCCAGTCCTGCACAGGCCAACATCCGAAGGGGGCGCCCTCCCTCTACGCGTGCGTGGATTCCGTGGATTTTTTGGGGGGGTTGGGAAGGATAAAAGAGAAAACCCGCTTGCCTGTCTGAAAAGCCTTCAGACTTCACGGACATGGAACCGTCGGTTGACATGTTTTGGAGTTGTTTGGGCGTTCACCATCAAATGTATGGCCGCATAATGTTTGGTCTCAGCACCCTTGCGTGGTCATCTGTGTGCTTTCCTCTCAGTTTGCGCTAGGAGGTGCTCCTTCCAGCATTCTCTAAAGAAACAGTGGCAAAGCGAAGCACTGGCAAAAAGGTTGCATGGCTAGCTAAATGCTTGGATTCGATGCGTGAAACATGAAGGTTTTGCGGTTTTGCGGCCGAGCTGCCAAGTGGGTGACCGGCGTCTTGTCCACAAGCGCGCATCCCTGTCCCGACCTGCCACTCGCAGCTTAGGTCTGAAGTTAGCTTCGTAGATTCTTACCCCACACATACACACATAGTTCGGCCAATCAATCCTTGTCTCAAAGGCGGAATGTATGAACCCAGATATGCCCTCATATGAACCCACAGCTTGTTGGCTAATGAACCACTAAACATGGATTGACCCATGCATGAGCGGCTTGGTAGACACTTGCGTGTAGGTGAGGAGAAGCCATGTCCACCAAAAGGAAAACAGAGCGGTCTGTCAAGTCAGAGCCCAAACACTGGCACAACTTCTTTACGTACTTCACCATAACAAACCGGTTGCTCCATACAATCAGACATTGAGTCTCCCCAGTGTCCCCTCCCTTTTTTTTTCTCTCTCTCTCTCTCTCTCTCTTTCTTTCTTTCTTTCTCTCTCTTTCTTTCTTTCTTTCTTTCTCTCTCTCTCTCTCTCTCTCTCCTCTCTCTTTCTCATCTTTGTTTTCGCAGCTTGCATTCAGGTTACTTGAGAACTTGAGAGTCCTCTGCCACAACCCCCGAGGCCTCTCCGAGACATACTTGCACCACCTGCAATCAGCATCGGCAGCCAACGCTCCCACCAGGTTCTGCTGAGACTGCCACATCATGTCCAGGCCCCAGTCGGACTTCTCGTGGATGCATCCGTGGCAATCCAGCAAAATGCTCTTCAGCCTCGGTGCGAAACGAATTTCAGGGGGTCGAACCTGGAGATCCCCGAATCACCAGCTGCACTTGGCTGGTTCCAATCATACTGCCACTTTGGAGGTCTAATAGAGGGAAAATGACAAGATCACTGAAGTAAGCATCCCAGGGCGCGAATCAGATGTCCAGCTCCAAAAGTAATACACACAAGTTAGTTGTTTTCCCCAAAGGGCCACTAATTGCCGACATGGGCAACTGCACAGTGGCTGAAGATGACAGCACTCAGGCTTCATGTGTGAGGCTCTGTGCTGAAACTGCCCCTCCCACGGAGCTCAAGGCGCGCAACACCAACTTAGCAGAAGATCCCGAGCCTGGAGAGTCCAAACTGAACCACCTATCCCAAAGTCATCATTTGATGCTCTGAATTTGTGGCACAGCTCAAAGGCTCAAATGAGCGAATCTTGGTTGAACCACCTTCCGTCATTGTGCAACTTCCCATGTTTTCTTCAACATATCTGCAAATCGGTCTTACTCTGAGGGTGAAACACTGCCGGCTTTTTTTCGGCGTCACCGCGGTTTGGGCACTGCCACTTGATCCCACCTAAGCCAGTTTCATCTCTCAAACCTTAGGGGTGGCTCTTTGTCCACCTTTGCCATGCCGAGGCCTCTGTTTCATCGGCTATTCTGGTGGATGGGCTGCTCGCCCATTCCAACTTGAAGCCATATTCCGCATACCATCTCTTGTTCGCTGATCGCACAAGCGAGGCCTAGGCCGTTGCCCTGAGCGGAGCCCCTTGAGGTGGAAAATGCGCAGCTTTTGCTCGTCCTGGTCATGCAATGCACTGGCCTTGATCGGGCTGTGAGGGTTGAATGTCTCATTGACACTCACGTTCCTGCACCAATCGTGTTCTCGTGTTTTTGTTGGCCAGCAACTGCATCTTCACGGTGAAGCCCCCGCCACTCCATGCAGTCATCGCGACCTCGCCGGCGTCTCGCAAGGCCTCCGCCGTGGCTGTCGCTCCCCCTTCGAAGCGGGGAAGCGGCCGGGACTGCCTGGCGCTTCCGGGCGCTCACTTTATGTTACCTTCCCACCATCCAGCTCTTTTTCATCAGCTGGCCCTGATGATGGAAAAGAACTCGATGTTGAACTTCTTCTGTGGAGTCATGGCTCCCCAGCATAAAACAAAAGGGAAACAAAGCCGCTTTTGCTTGAGCCTATGGTTCAGCTTGGATGCGAATAATATTGGCTGACTGGCGTGCAGGGGAGCTATGTTTGCGCACTCCTGCCGATTAATAAACTAAAATATCGGTCAAAACCTGGGTCTTCCTGCGTCCTTCGATAGCCTCAAAGTTGGCTGGCTGATGTTTTTGCACCGACTCTGCTCAGAAGCCTTCACTGAGGCCGAGTAACACGTCCGACTTCAGAAGCGGGGCAGTGAGTTCTACGAAGTCCGTGTGACGGAAGTCGCAACCTGCCAGGGATGCGGAAAAACCAGCAGAGCCACACTGCCAAGCTGAATCAGTTTGGAAGCCAACCGACAAGAACTTGACTCATCTCCACGTCCACGATTGGTAGGCCAAACTGTTGGATCACCAGACATCCCTTCTCCAAAAAAAAACGTCAGAAGCAGCTCAGCAATCACAGCACCCACCTGGATCTGGCATCTGGATCCTTTGAGGGCCTCGAGGCTCACAACAAGCCCAAGCCTCAACCAAACAAGCTCCATTCAGGAGCCGCACCGCCAATGCTTCCATTGCATTAAGCTCTGCCACCTGACGATGTGCAGTGTCAACCCGAAGAAATCCTTTAAGTCAAAATTGTACCAGAGGAATGTATGCGAAGCTCAAGTTGCTGCTGACCAAGCATGTCCCCTTACACCAAGTAACCAGCCAATTTTTAACTAACTAACAATGGGCCAAAAGGTGATGTGTAACCAAAGGAAAATGGAAGGCTTCTGTTTTGCCCCCAAGCCCGCAAGGACTTCCACAGCCACTGTCACCCTGAAAATTGAGCGATATGTTAGTATGTCCCTCCCAAGTTTTCCGACCGAACCTACGAATCGCCATCAAAGCCTGGCAAAAAGTGGCTGCTCAAGCTCCTAAGAAAAGTGTTAGGCACGCCACCTCTTAGGACTGTCCACCTCACCTTTTGATTCTGGGCGCTCCAAGACTTCGAACACGACCCGGGTGGCTTTCCTCCGACGCCTGCAAGGGGACCCCTCTGACCCCTATGGCTCTGAGCTTCCCCGCCGCTCAACCGGTGCCTTCCGGCGTCGTCCCTGGTGGGGCTATGGCCTCGAAGCGAAAACCCCGGCGGTCGCGCGGAAACGGACAGATGGGTATGGGTGAAAATTAAACCGCAAGGATATGGACCGCAGGTTTTCGTCCATGTGTCCATTTGCCAGGGCAAGCCATTTGGGGTACCTATGTTTGACCCACAGCCAGATAGTCTTTTGCAGAGGATTTTTTTTATTTTTCTAACGAGGACAATGTGTCTGGATTCGTGACCTGACTGCAATGCTGTTTGGGCTATTCCGAAGTATGGGAAAGTTGGGGAAGATTATGATTTGCCTTGGCAGGCCCGTTGCCAGACTGACCGTTGAAAACCACCCTGCGCTCAGAATCAAGGCAACACTCTGTGGTCCGCGCCAACCTTCCCTCAGACACGGCAAATATGTGTTCGCACAATCTGTTGTGAAGGGAACCCCCTGAAATGTGGCTGCGTGGGCAAACATTATCATATAACCATTTTCCGCCAAAGGCCTCAATTTCAATTACACAATGCTCGTCTATGTTGCGATACAGGCTAACTGCAACTGCATACCTGTATTTTGGCAGCCTCCTTGCTTCCCCAAAACTATCCTCATATGTTGCAAGTATGTTGCCCCATGTACCCACAGCGAGAAAATAATCTCTGGCTTGGAGTCAAACATGGCCGAATGGATCTTGGCGCATAGAGGCTAGAGGATTCTTAGAACCAATTGCGCAATGCAAGGCCTTCTCGCCGGATCACGCTGGCAGCGTGTTCCTGCATGCGTTCGGTGCGAGCACCGGCAACGCCTTGCACAAACAAACCAACAAACAAACCAACAAACAAACAAACAAACAAACAAACAAACAAACAAACAAACAGACAAATAGACAGACAAACAAACAAACAAACAAACAGACAAACAGACAAACAGACAAACAGACAAGCAAGCAAGCAAGCAAACAAGCAAGCAAGCAAACAAGCAAGCAAACAAGCAAGCAAGCAAACAAACACACAAACAACCAAACAAACAACGAAACAAACAAAACATAGTTTTGAAACCAACACATCAGCAATGAACAACAAGTCAATTGGGTTCGAACTTCCTCAGTGCGATTGCGCAGTGCATGTCCGTCATTTCCTAGAGCAGATTTACCATTTCCAGGGTTCCAGGCTACCTTCGTGAATCAGAAAAATAGAACCCTGTGCTCAGGAAGTCCTTCGACACAAGCCAAGATGCTACCAGCCACATGCCGTGAATGACCCCCAGCCTGCAGCACGCCGGAAGGTGAATGTGGCACCCCGTGCTGATTCACCTGAGCCACAAGGAGACGTAGATACCCCAAATCAAACAAAACTAGCCATAACGACGGCGCTGCTTCCATGTCTGGTTGGGACTAGGCTTTCCTCTTAGCCACAAAAAATGGGGTACCAACTCCAAAAGACACCCACTTACCAAGGTTCTGCTTTTCACTCGCCGAGGCTCCGGCAAAGGTTGGCCCCACGATGCCCGAGTTGGTCTCCCGCGCCAGATCCAGGAACTGCAAGACGTCGGCCTGGCCGGAGAAATCGCTGCGCAATCGCTGGGGAATGCGGTTGAACGAATGAACCCGGCCAGGCTCGGGTCCGATTTGTTTTTGGGTGAGGTTCGTTCCCTCATCTCATGTCTTACCTATCGCAGCAAGGAAAAGAAAGCTCCGTGTAATGAGGGTTCTGGGGACGAAAGGCTGCCAGAGACAACGCAAACGTGAGATTCCTTGCAGCGACAAACATTGCGTGTGGACAACTTGCCTCATCTGACCATGACCCCACAGAATGACATCGTCTCCCAGAACCCCAACGTGGCCTTCCGGACTCTGACGGCAAACACAAGCAACGGTAGTCCCTAGTCTCGAGTCTCGAGGACCCTTTCGATGTGAAAAGGACACCGGCAGCTCGATTGCTTGGATAAATGTCCCTACACCTTGGACATGCAAAATCTGTTTGCAACGCGCCCATCCTCGCCTTGGAGAGGTCGATGTCACTGTCCAGAGCCCAAACAAACTCATAGCGCTGCTCCCAGTCCCCCTCCTGGCCAAGGAAGGTGTCAGAAACCGAGACAAAGATGGGCCATCCTTGGGAGCAACAAAGCAAACGATCCCTTTCACGGTTCAGGTGAGGCTATTTGGAGATGGACCTGAGATGACAACTTGGAAAAATGGCTTCATTTTGATGTTGGCAACTCTCCCCATCGTTTTTCGCCCACAGAGAGGAGACAAAAAAACACCCTGGCCAGCGACTCTTTTGATGACCCAATGCCCCCCACTCCCCCACTCCCCAGCACACCTTGTAGGCTTGCCTCGGAACATGCAGAGGAAATACATGGATGCTCTGCGCGAAAAAGGACATTCGGCTCAGACTACTCGGGTGTCCTTCATGCTTGCCTTGACCTGCCAAAAGCTGGCGATGGGACATCCCTGTCAGCTCGTTGGTCGGTTGTTGTTGGTTCCGTGGCGACTCGAAGTGCCTGTCACTTCGGCGCAGCAGCCACACAGCATTGTAACTGATTCGACCCAATCGTTAGCAAGCATTACCACGCGCCGCCCAAAGGTCTGTGAGACTCTCTCTCCACACGTCCACCACTTCGAGCCGGGTCTCTGTAGAAAGTGGAACTTGTAGCCTTTTCCGGTGATCGACTGGACGACGTGCTTCTTGTACCTCGCAAGTTGCCAATCTGCCACGTCAAACGGCCGCCCACAAGTCTGAACGCCAGTGCCCGGCTTCTGCTTAGCTACATCTCTTGTTGGGGCTAAAATAAACGCCGTTGTAATGTTGCGCGGGAATGTCTGCTGCCACAGCGTGGCAAAACGCCATGAAAACGTCATCTTTATGCGCCGCACAGCCGGAAAGACACCATGAAAACGTCTTTTTTATGCGCCGCTGGGAACTACCTCCCCTAGGCCATTCGCAGCTGAAACCTCCCCCACCATGGCCACATCTCTCGGCTCACCAGGCGTGGTCCCAGTCCTTTGGCGAGCCTCTGTAATGAGCTAAGATCACCTCAGAAATCGGCGACAGGACTGCCCGTTGTGTGTCTAACGGTTGGAACCCTCAAATTGGGGCGGTTTCCCGTTGATTTCGAATGAAAAGCCCCCTCCCAGAAACAGGAGGGAAAAAAAAAGCTTCTCTTTGAGGGTACATACAAACATCGGCAAGGGGCGGAACATATGGCTGCAAGACCTTACCAAAAGGAACCTCACAATGTTTCTGCGCAGAATGCTTCGACCGGGAAGACCCTCACCAGCGGAACCAAAGACCTCCTTGATGACTCAGGCTGCTGGGGCGCTGGCATCATGCTCGATTCCAAGATCTTGGACCTTGGCCACCGGAGAGTTTTAGTCTACCCCCAAAGACGTGCTTTTTGCGTCCTCTTCAATTCAGAAGGAGTCCGCGAAAATGCAGCATACTGGCGACAGAGCAAGCCGAGCGACGCTTCGAACATTCGCCTTGATTGTCTCCTGGAGCCGCAGGGGAAACGAACCCAATATGTCCACAAAGCAGCGCCTTCCACAAAAAATCGGGTGACGCAAGTCTGCAAAACATGCAGGGTGCTCGCTCACTCCCAGGTTGAACATCTGGAGATTGGCTTAGGAGGATGTCTTGGAAAAGCATGTTGCTCTTCTCACGCGAGGCAAAACGCGACGCAGACTCGGACACCCCTGAGCCTGATTTGTGTTGCGGCCTGAACACAAAAATGAGTAAAAAATCGTAGATGGTGGGCTTTCTGCACAGAATCCAAGTTGCTACATGACAAAAGTTGAAGGTTGCACATCGGCCTCACAATCCCAAAGAAACCTGCTGCAGGAAAAGACCAAGTCAAGTTCGGCGATTGGCTTTTGATTTGAGCTGTTTAAAGGTTGATTCAGCATATGGAAGGAGAAGGAGAAGGAGTGGGAGCAGGGTTTGTAAAGCGTTTGGGGTTGATTTGGGGTAGGTTGTAGCTTTGGATTCACGGATGACTCCAGAATCATAGAAGGGTTTGGGTCTGGGTTCATGGCTAAGTCGGAGCGGGTCTAGGCTTGGTTTGGGTTCGGTTCAGGGTTGTGCAGGTAGCCGTCGACTCTTCATGGGAAGGATTTACAGAGGGTCGGTGTTGGGTTGGTGTAGGGTCCTCTTGGGGTGGATCTGGGGTGGAAAGCCGCATGCCAAAAAAAAGAACAACAAGTCCTGTTCAAAGCCTAAGCCGTCAGAGCCGGACAAAATGCACAAATCCTTCAAAGCATAGCCCTCCATTCTGGTTTTGCAGGCAAAATGCGCCGAGGGAGGCGCATCATCATCATCATCATCATCATCATCATCATCATCATCATCATCATCATCATCATCATCATCATCATCATCATCATCATCATCATCCTCATCATCATCATCATCATCATCATCATCATCATCATCATCATCATCATCATCAGCAGCAGCAGCAGCAGCATCTTCATCTTCATCTTCATCTTCATCTATCAAATATAATTGGTCAGTACTCTGCTGCACAGGCTTCGCATGGTGTGGGAACACTTCACTGCCCCTCTTCTGAGAAAAAAGGGGGAAGTGAGGCCCTGCTGTACTTGGAATTGCAAGACTTGGTAGCTTCGCCAAACTGAACAGAGCCGTCAGTCTAGAGGCATCACAGCTTATTATTTCTTTTCAAGCCCTTGGCAAAGACATCAGATTTCACCCGCCTATATACATCTCATCCAGTTATTATCCAAGCGATGATGGGTATTTCTATAATGATTGGTTTATGCTCACATAGCATGTATCTGGTTATCCCTTACCTTATTTGCTTTTGATTACATGTGTGTCTTTGCTTGGTCTGGTTGTTCTTCTTTACATGTTCCTGTCTTTTATTCAGGCCCCAGGATCGGCTGCAGGGCAGCAGCCCCGGAATAACTTAACAGCCTTCAGAGTGTGAAAAAAAAACGAAACACAAGGCTTTGGTTTTGCAGTTCAGGAACATGTGTGTGTGTGTGCGTGGTTGTGTTCGTCTCGACGTCTCTACGTGGGGAAATCCCCGGAAAAAGAAACTGCTTTCCTGTGGTTGCGTTTCATCCTCAAAATGGGACCCTCAAAAACGACACACCCATCTAGCTTGGGAGAAAGACTCAGACTCCTGGAACGCCTTGCGACACTGCTGAAGTCATGGAAACCAATCAAACTGCTTAACTATGGCCTCATCTGATATTGCTTCCAACAAAGATGATGCACTCGGCAACTATGGTGATTAGATTCACCTAAAGGGTTTTGAAAGAGTTGGACAACACCAACCAACAAGCACTGTTGATGATGCAAGCTCTACTTTCATGCGGAAAGTAGACGCGCGGACGATCGTGGCAAGCTCCTGCGTCTTCTTTCCGCTGTCAACCGACCAGAATAGGAGCACCCTGGACTGACAGGGAACCAGGCCTGAGCGCAAGGTGATGTAAGGCTTGCCTATGACAACCTACTAGCTGGACCCTTCAACGAGATATCGTCCCTCAAATAAATATTGACATGGACAAGGGCTGCAGCTCAACTATCTGAGTTATGTGCGTCCCTCGCGTGGGTGCCGCCACGAATTAACATTCTCACCGGTCACAGGCCCATTGCTCAGTACAGAGTTCAGCTGCTGTTCATACCCGGTTACCCATTCAGTGCTAGAGCCGCACGCAAGAGCCGAGGGAAAGCACTCGTTCGAGCCGAGAAGCCTACTCTTGGGGTTTCTGGTTTCCTTGTCCAATCAACACCACCAGCCAGCCGCCTCATGGGTGTCTGATTGTTTGACGGCTGGGAGAGGAGCAGGTGAGATGGGCAAGTGATAGATGTATGATGAATTCTGACTTGTCCAGGAACATTTGATAAGTCACACACTCGACTTGACTGGCCATTCTTCATTCCACACCAGTGGGGCGTTTTCTGCATCATTAGTTTGTGCCTCGGGTCGTACATCTTTTGGGAGAAGCCATGGCCTTGCTCGCACAGAGGCTTGGCAATGTAGCCTGTGAAGGAACTTCAGAATCTGAACTAGGTTGCCCGCCGGAGAAGAGGGCGAAGAAACAAGCTATTCCTCAGTCGACAGGCTTCTGCAAGCAGCATGCCAGACACAAACTGCTCAACTTCTGCCTCTGCAAGGAGTCTCAGGTCGTCTCATGTCGCTTTGCCAAGACTCTGCCAGCCATACGAACACTTGGGTGTGCTGCACCCAAGGAAAGACACGGACTTAGCACCTAAGTGCAGCAGGAATCAATTCAGTGACCCCCACCCACCCGACCCCCCGTGCGAATCAGAACAGAAAAGAAGATGTGCAAGACCCAGCTTGGCATCTCCTGAGGGCAGCGCTTGGAAGACTGCTCCCCCAGACTGCAAGTTGCAGCTTGAGCACAGGAACGAGCAGGAGCGGATTGGCGTGCAACAACTGTCGCCGCACTGGACCCACGCGGGAATTGCAGAGGCCAAGGCTTGGGAAGCCGACGGCAACAGAGGCCCCTTTCCCTTCTATCCAATGACCCTCGGACACAGGGAACAGCTTCCTTTGGGTTTGACCTTTTGCGTGGGAAAGCCACCACACTAGAATGGGAAAGGGTGCTAGGCCGCTTGGTTCCCGTTTGAAAGCATCAACAAGGGGGACGGCCCCATTTTCGGACGCAAACTGTCAAAAACCAATATGGGCCACTAGTCGTCATATCTACCCGCCCAGCAAAATGCATGACCACAACCCGGGCGATTCGGATGTTTTTCATCACTCGTCGTAAGGCAGATCCCAGTTGCCTTGCACGGCAGAAAATGCCTAGCCCCTTTCCCTGGCTGGCCGTTCTCAAAAAACATGATGGTTGGAGTCCTTCGAAGCTCACGAAAACCCTGCAGTTTGGTACCCCCGCGGCCCCATCTCATTGACCTTTCATTTTGCCGAGCTGGATGTCGACTCACAGGTCTTCCACTGCCCTTCAGTGGCATGGACTGATCAATGATGAAGCTGAATGTATTTGTATATCTGTAAATATATATATATACATATACTGCGTGTAGAATAGATACATGTTTCTTTTCATCCATGCACACATGATGTCCGGTGTGCACACACACATAAATATATTTATATATTTGCATTTAGGTGTGTATGTGTGTGTGCTCCAGGCCGTGGACCCCCCACCCCCCCCACCCAACCCCCCCCCTCTTGTGGGGTGGGGTGGCGGGGTTGGGTGCGTTGGCTGCGGTGCAGGGGTTGGCTTGGGGTTGGTTCAGGGTTTATGGTCGGGTTTTGGCTTAGTTTCGGGGAGGGTTGGAGAAAAATACCAACTCCGAGAACGGTCACCTCAGAACGACGCAAACTGCTGAACAACGAGGCTCTTCTCCTGGATGATGGTTCAGACTGGGGTCATCCACTACCAGTAAACATCGACGTCGCGTCCGCGAGCCAAAATACGTCCCCGGCGAGCACCTGCTGCAACACGATCAAGAACTTCGTCTGCCGACATTCAGTTACTGACTGAGGCACAACTACATATTCAAGGAGCGCTTCGGGCGTTCCGAAATTTCTCGCCATCATTCTAGGAACTGTGCGTATCTTCCAGGTTTGGATCCGTGTCCATAACGACATCGCCTCCAGAAGATGTCTGTAGAGCTTCAGATTGTTTCTTTTGTTTTTGTTTTGTTTTGTTTTTTTTATGAGGGGGCTACCACTGCGCCACCCTGCAACATTTGCTGGACAAGTTCTTCACTCAAGAAAACTGTCTCTGCGTCCGCAGCCATTTTGATTTCACTTGCGCTTGGTACAGCGAGCCACAACCTTTGGCGATCGCGCGGAAAGCTTTCCGCAGACGGCGATGCAAGCCCCCGGACCCTCCGAACACAGATGAGGAGAAGTTCGACTTGGAGGCTTGGCCTGGTCTGTTGGTTTTGCTTTGTTGCCGGTCGCTGGCTTGCCATCGCTTGAAGCCAAGGCCCCCGCCGCTTGGCCTCTTGCATGGCCTTGCCAGTTGGCCCAGCTGGCCTTAGGCTTGAAGCCTTCGATTCACCCCTTCATGGCACAAAAGAACCAGAACTTCCCGAAGATCCAGATTTCCAGCAAATGAAACCCACCGATCCATGAAACCACGAAACTCACGAGACTATAGTCTGTTTGATGACGTAGTTCATGCAGCCCAACTCCTCAAACTATGGGATATGTTGGAAAAATCCACTCCGCCAATATGACACTGTCAAGAAGAACCTGCATGACATATTCAAGCAACTCCGAGATTCTCCGACTACCTGGCATATGGAACTACCAAGGAGAGGTTGATCTGTCGAGGTTTTGGATATTGCCCAACTAATCCTTTTCTTGCAGAGGAAGAGGCGTGATGGGGGTGCTCTTGTGTCCCGCGCAACCCGAAGATTCGTTCCTACACCCTTTCATTCCTGCCAAAGACCCGCTCATCCATTGCATTCACCTACCACGGAGTCCCTGATGGGCCACCTTCAACAGATTGTACTTCAGTGCCACACATGGCCAATCACCTCCAGGAACCCGAGACCCTGCCGGAAGAAGGTCACCGAGGAGATACACCAAAACCAAGTCCACCGATTCTCACTACACAGAGTAAGGGAGAGTACGACAGAGACTGCGTGCACAATCCGGACTTCGTGTTTGACTTTCAGCGCAACACCACCAAATCCCATCAAGCACTCATTGCGAGCATGACGAGACTCGTGAACCTGGGTATGAAATTCATGGTCGACATCGCCACGGGCGACGCAAACTCCGCTTGCAACAGACTCAACAGTAAACAGCTGCTTTCACATCCACAAGTGTCCACACTGAACATTGTCATGGAAGGAATCGCAGAAGTCTTCAATGCCAAGCAAGGAGATCCTTTGAAACAAATCCTGATTTCGTCCGGATGCGCAGAGTCCATCCATTCTTGAAGCAGCCCTGAGACAAGACGTCTCTCGTTCTGCGGCGCCCTCGATCCATCAATGTTTTCTACAAGCCAATCCAGAACCCGCCCGAAACCCACCCGAAACCCATGATGGGGGTTGGGGTTGAGGATTAGGGATGTAGGATTACAGGGGAGCTCTCCTGTTAGGGGGGCCGTGCGTGTACATAACAAGGCAGTGTAACCAAATATGACCAACTACGACAATTCAGCAAGTGTGACGCGCTTTGTTTTCCTCGCGATTCGGAGTTTGTCGCCTCATACGATACGTTCTCCGCCAAGAAGCTGAAAACACATGAACCTGTTGATGTGTTGTACGCTACCCATTCGACTAGGAAAGCCTTGTTCTGAATCATTGTCCCGAAAGGTGGATGTAAATCATCTGGAAGAACGCCGGGCATGACGGATATGCAACCTGCCAGACAATATTCTGAATGTACGTGCGCGAGGTCACGCATTGACCACCATGGCTATCCCGGCGAAGCATCTGAATAAGGTGCATAGTTTCCTTTTGTTCTGGTTGATGAGCGCTTGATACACTCGTACTCAAATTGGTTGCATCGGTTGTCATGCTCACATCTGCCATCTCGCCAGATATGTCTGACCAAAGTCCTCGCATAAAGCCACACAAACCAAAGCATCGCATCAATCCTTGCAACTCTGCTGCAGTGGTGGACATGGTGGCTGCAGTAATTGTATGGGTTTCATAATCCACCGTTCTTGCGCAAGGAAAATCACACGTGCACGCCATGAGGATGTGTCTTCGTTGTTCCTGTAGGATGCGTCAGGATATCCGACTAATCTAGTCTTGCCCTTAAGAGGCCTGAATCTCACACGATTTATGATTCTGACTGTCTTTATCTCCAAGGCGGGCGACAAAGCCTCCCTCGAGCGCAGCCAGTTCACCCGGCCAAGCACGCTACGATATACTCATGGCTGGAGTCTTTTGAACGTCGTCCCTAAAGCGCTTCTCAAAGTTGGTTCCTTGAAGCTCATTGAAAGCTATGTCCTGATGGACGTTGATGCCATCTCCGTGCTTGGGGTCTGTCTTCTAGTGGGTTCGCTCACCGAAGACGCAGCTGCTCTTGTCCTTGCGGATCTTGGCCATGATTTGTTGGTCAAAGATGTTGTCACCTGTCATGAGAAGGTCATCTACATGAAGGGACATAACACCCTGGACTTCCTCCGCAGCTCTATAGCTTGGAAATCGCAACTTTGTTGCACAAGAACGCGATGTACACCTCCACAGCTCCAGCTCGAAAATGGCAACGCTGCCGCTCCTGGTCCAGATGTCGTTCCCACTTGTTTTCCTACTGGCAGGTTCCGCACTACTCATAAACCTGAGCTTTACATGGGTGTTTTCTTGTAGACCAAGACTGCTTCATGAAATTGAATCCCAAAGCCTGCGACCGCCTGGAAGGTGCAAGGTCTGGAAAGTAACGGCGCTGCCGGTGCCGCAAGGCAAGGTGTCTTGTGCCACACCCCATGCCCTCAAAGTATAAGCAAAGGTAAGCTTGCAGCGCGCAATCTCTTCTTGCGATCTCCTGTGTACGGGACATGTTCGGCATGGCGACGAAATGCTGACCGACCTCCAGCCTCGTGGAACAAAGGACAATGGGAACCAAGGACAAGCAATCAAGCAAACCACAGGTTGATTAAAACCATGTCTGGGAGAATCCCACACTTTGGAGGAAGAGAACACCCCCCCCTCCCCGAGTTGGACGTGACCCCTCTCAGGTCTGGTGGTAAAGGCCAAACGAACTGAACGAGCAAGTCTTCACCGCGAAAATGTCCGAGTCTTCGCGGAATTGTGCACATGCTCTCTGAGTGCCGCATTGCAAAGCAGCGCCGGTTTTCCCGCAGCGCGAATCTCCTCAATCCACATACCTCGGAGTGCTGGCGTTGGCCAAATCATCAAATGTATAAAACCCACAAACCTGACAACACTAATTTGGATTTGCGGTGTTTCCCTGTTTTATATACAAACAAACCCAGAAACCATTCAAGCACCGGCACCACCAGAAAGTCCAGTCCATACCCAGGAGGACCCGCTGCCCATCTCTGCGATGCTCATGGACAGCTCGTACCACTCCTGGCACTGGCAAGCCCATAGCCGCAATGCCCAACCTACAGTTGGGTCCTAAGGCCTAGGACTACACACCAAGGCGGGATGATCATACACCTGCAACAACGATTCAGCATAGAATCCAGAAATTGGGCAACCAACTGAGAACAAGGCTTGCCCAAGGTACCATAAGTTGGAGAGCTCGGAACCCGCATGCAAACCAAAGATCTACGGACCCTGATCCCCCGGCCCGAAAACTTTTGGGGGGTCCGCGTCCTGGCCACTGAGGCGAGAAGTCGTGGCCGGCAACCAAGGCGCCTGAAAGCTGCAAGCGTCCCGAAAGCGGCTCCCTCAAGACCCCTCAAATTGGTGACTTTCCTTTCATGTCCGCTTGCCAACCCAAAGAGGGCAACGAAACAGACCCAGATTCCCACCCTAGGATTCTGAGAGTTGGTGCTCTCGCGTTGATTGCACTTGGCAACAATGTCTCTACGCGAATTCACAGCAGCTTCTCGAAGCAAGTTCTTTTGGTACCCCATTCTTCTTGCCCTTCCATCAGTAGAGCAATGAAGCAGGATTTCCCGTTAAGGACTAGTGTGTGTGTGTGTGTGAAGCTTGCATAGCTCCGCCAGGACGGACGAGCCAAAGCCAAACATGAGGCTGAATCTAAACAGAGTCTGCCAAGGGCGCTGGAAGTTTTTCCAGGGGGAAACAAAAAACAAGCCCGGTGTTTCATGACTGCAAAGGCGCCAAAAGGACGCATGAGTTCCGGCAACAAGGACCCGTAGTGAACCACGAAAGGGGGGTCGTTCGGTTTTTGGTCACAAGCTCAAGGCTTTCGGTCCTGGGCCCAGCTTCGGCAGCCACGTCCGTAGGTCCGAGTCCACGCACTCGTAGAGGTGGCAACCATCCACAAAGATCGCCTCGACTTCGCGACTTCGCACCGGTGAGAATTCAACCAAAAAAACAAGAGGGGTGGCGTCCACCGGCCACATCCAAAAAAAGTGGAGGCATGGTTCCACTGGTCCTACTAGGAAATGCGTGAGGGTTTCTCAGGCAGAGGCAACTCGTCACCGTTGCTGATTTGTTTTGCCAAGGAATGGCTTGCAAGACTCACCTGTCGCTTGCGTGATCTGCGCACTACCTGGATCCATCAGCACCGCTGGTGGATATATGAGTGGCGCAGGCGCAGAGCAGTAAAATGAAACTGCACTGCCGATAACGCACACCCTTCACACACATGAACAAAAAGACACTTGTCCTCATGTTGTGCGACCCAAGCTATCATGAAGCTACGGAATGGCAACGAGGTGATGCTTCAGACGATCCAGCATCGTAATGCAGCAAAGGCGCGTCAATGCTGCCATCGGGAATGCTCCTTTTTGCACAGATTGGAGTGTCTTTCGTCAACGCGGACTCATTGAACCGGGAGAGTCCGCGTTTGGAAGCCATTTTCGGTTTGAAAGGGAACCAATAGGAAAGCAACCCTTGTAAGGGCAAGCGCTTGCCAAATTGGAGGGAATCGGTGGGCAAAACTCTCGAGCCTCGCAACTTGGGCAATTCTTCTCGCTTTTCTCACCTTAGACACGTCTCACCTGTACTACGGTTCTTCCAAAAACAGTGGGCACCTCAAAGCCCAATGTTGAGCCCTGCATGACCGCATTTCTTGAAAGAAGCAGCTGTAAAGGGCACCACCAAGCCAGTTCAAATATGCGGCTCCAATGGAAAATCGACTGAGTCCGCCTTGGTTGAAACTTGGTGAGTCCCATTGACCGGCTGGATAGATTGACAAAACCTCAACTGGCATATCCCCTCATCCTCGAATGCAGAAATGAAACCCAGCTAAATAGGGCCCCACCCCATGTTCATAACGAGAGTTGCACATTCTCAGGGGAGTTACTCTTGCTCCCACTCTCCCACTAACATCTGCAGGATGAGAGCATACCAGAAGATCGGTTTCCTCCAAAAACCTCCTGCCAAGCCACCCAGGTTTGTCCCTCAACACAAGAACCCTCAAAAATCGACCGGGTTTCCTTTTGGGCTCCCTCAAAAACTGAGGCCCCAAAACTCACAAGGGGGATATTGTGGTTTCCTTTGTGGCTCCCTCAAAAACTGGGACTGTGGCCCAAACGGGGACTACCAGATACCGGCTACCCAAACAACGCGACGCACTGCCGGACCGGCGACGCGTCGCGTCGCGCCCGCTCCTGGCGGCCTCCTCGGAGGTCACCGGCAGCAGTTGGGCGCGCCCGGGGAAGCGCTCGTAGATCTGCTGCGCCTCACCGGGAAAAAAACAAAAGAAAAAAAACGGACCCTCGGTTCGGTGCCTTGGGACTTGAATTGAGCCTAAGTGGGAAGCCCCCAACCAAACCACCGAACCAAACTACGAATTGGAGAAAACTTGCGGCGTGTGAAACTTCAGTTTTGTTTTGTCATCTGCCAATCGAATCGATCCGCAATCGATCTTCATATGGCCATGGGTCAAAATCCCGCACCCCCAGTGAACATCCCAATCCCCACTAAATAGACTAAAATGGGTGGTGCACCTACCCCGAAATGATAACGCTGGTTTTGACCCACAGCCATATCGACAAGGCTAGACCTCTTAAAGCAGCACGATGCAGCAAACCTGTTCAGCGATTGCATGTAATTCGAGATGGCCCGTATGGCATCAGCTTCGTGTTGAGCTTGCATTGAAAGAAGACGCTGACATCCCCCCCAAGCCCACCCCAACCGAAAGTCAATACCCCACCCCACCGGATCCCCTTGGTCAACAGTTGGAAGCAAATGCTGCACGCCGGCAAAGATGACATTTCCCCCACCCCACCCGAAACCGAAAGTCATCAACGTCTCAATGCTGCAATCAGAGTGGATGTTAACATGTCCCTCCCCGAAATGGCCTGATGCTCGTTGAATTGTGGGATTCTCTACATTTGAGCTAAAATGTGTCATTTTTATATAAACTCTAGTAAAGCACGGCCACTCTCAAAAATATTGTTTTTGAAGCTCGGAATGGCCGATTGCCACCAAAATCGAAACCTGAAAGCAGTTGGGGGCTCAAAACGCGGTGGGTGGTTGCCAGAACAATATGCCGCTTGAGCGATGGGCTGGAGAAGTCATTCGGACAATTGTGGCACTGCCCTGTGGAGGGCGTTCGGAGTGGAAACCCCGCAAAACACCGCAAAATGCCCAACTCACATTGAAGAAAAAAACTGAATGGCATTGTTTCCGCCGCATGTCTGTCCGGTCTCAGACCTGCGCGAGGGCCATATCCGGATCCATGGTTTCCGAGAAGTCCCCGGGAAATGTGCCGTCCTTGCCGACGTAGGGGTCCACTCCTGGGATCGGTGAAAACTCCGAGGAGTTTAACGCTCTTGGCGCGTCGTGCGCTTGAATCGCCTAAACCTGAAGACTTTGGCTCCGGATCAGCAAAACAACGGCCCGGCAAGTCCTTCAGACTCAAAAAAGCCGAGATTCCCAGCAACTGCACAAAAGGCAACTGCTCTAGCAACGACTTTGACCTTGGCCCAAGCTGAAGAAACGCGGCAATGCGACAATGTGGCTCAGGCGCACGCAAGCTCCCTTTGAAGACGCCGATTTCCACCACAGTCACTTGCGCAAGACCTTGAGAATGTATCTTTTTCCTCGGTTCAAACGCGCCAGGAAACATGAGCAAAAAATGCTCATCGCAGAGTCATGCGCATCAGGTGACACAACTCTTCCTGCCCTGCAACATCAATTTCAGCCTAGACGCAACAAATTGCTCAGAATGTCCTGGCGGAAAGAGAGAGAAAAAGACGCAGAGAGGAAATAACGGGCGAGAGAAAACAAAGAGAAAGACAGAGAAAGAAAGTAAAAAAGCGAGAATGAGAGAAAGGAAGAAAAAAAGAAAGAGAGAAACACACACAGAGACACACAGAGACACACAGAGACACACAGAGACACACAGAGACACAAAGGCTCGCGCACGCGCGCACACACACACACACCATACACGTCTGCATCACTGTGTGCCGCATACCGAGCCAATGCTCGGGGTGCATGACAAGAGTCGAGGCTTTCTTTTATGATCTTGGCTTCTCTCACCTTCCTTCAAGCGGAAAACTTTGCAAACGCCTCCGACTTCGGACTTGCCACATCGCCCGGACTGATGTCTCGGGTTTCTGTCTCCACGTGTTTGTGCTTGAAATCAATCAGCTAGGGTTAATTATGCGCTTTTTGGAGCTTGCGAGCCACAGCCAAATACGAAACGAACGGCTTGCCGCGCTCTTCCGCCCCGGAAAAAATGAGAACCGGTGTCCTGCCGCTGGCTACCCTGATTCTCAAAGCCGTAGAGCGGCGCCCTGGCGCAAAGGCTACGGCACGAGGCGAGATCTGAGCACTGACCGCCTCCTTGTGACTCAAGGGCCATGGGGTTTCCAGCCTTCCTTTTGGAGGGGAGGGGTCAGACCTCTGTTGACATGGCCCAAATGAATGCCGTGTGGACTGATTTTGGAGCCCTAAGGCCCGAACAAGTAGTCATGCGGGATTGCCAAGGCGCGTGGCCCGAGTGACACTCACCTTTCTCCGCCTGCTCCTTACCCTCACCCAAAGAAAGCAAGTTTGGCGTCCCGAAACAAACAAGAACTCCGAGTCATACAAAACGGATCCCATTCAGCGCCCAAAGCAAACACTCCCCAGGCCACGCAGCAACAAGCATCAAACAGAAAAACGAGCACCTGCGCAGCCAGCTGCTCAAGATGCACCAACCAATCCAATTCTGCCCGGCCCTGGCCTGGCCCACCCGCCGATGAGCTCGTGGCCGGCATAAGCATCATTGGCCCCCAGCTCGTCCCAGCGATCCGCTGGGCCCCAGGCGGTGTGGATGACCCGGCCCTGCACTCGGTTCATTTGGGCCTCCCCGGTCGCGGGGGAAAGAAAAAAAAAAAAGAAAAAAAAGGAAAGAAAAACACGTTGCAGGCTTCTGGTTAGTAGCCCAAAGCGCAGTGAGCGAAATTTCGCGAATGGGATTCAAATGCGACCCGAGACTGGTCTGCATTGGCGTGTGGAGGCTTGGAGGTCTGAGGATGTGGTTGTCCCAACTGTCCCCAGATCGACGTTCTCGACTTTGTTGCGGGCTCAGTGATTTGGCCCTGCCAAATGACCTCCGTAGTGCTGTCCACCAACAAGGACATTCATGATTGTGTTAGTGGCACTGTGTTCAGAGATGTTGTTGGGGCAGATGGGTTGGTCGTGGTTGCTCCCACCATGATACAATCGTGGCTGGGGTGCAACATGAAGCGTCTGAGCGATTACAATTAATCAAGCAGTGGTGGCAGTAGCAAGCATTTGTGTTTTCCTCAACGATCCACCTAAACTTCCCCCAACTAGCTCTAGACCAGGCGTCCAGCCCTAAACTAACCCACAATCTACACCAGCCCCTCAACCAACCCTAATTCAGGAAGCCAACCTAAACACACCTGAAACCAGCCCCAAGCCTTCCCTAAACCCGCCCTAAACCAACCCTAAACCAGCCCAAACAAACTGCGGCCTCCTCTCCAGGCTTTGCGGGATCAAGCCAAATTGTTGCGCACCTTTGTCGCCAATAAGATCAAGTTCCAGTACTGCAATCAAGTGCCTCTGGAACCATCGCAAATCAGCGAACCTTCTGAGTCCCGAAAGGTGCCGCCAGATTCGGCAAAGAACAGTCATGAAACCCGATTGACCCAGCCTGAAGGGGTATGGTTTCTGAAACATGACAAGTGGGAAGCTCTCAAAATGAGCGATTCTTTGAGTCTTTGGACTCAGCTGGCCCCGCTCCCCCGCCCTGTCCTCACGCAGCGTGTCTTGCAGCCACAGGAAGTGCGTGTCCCGCCAGACCTGAGTCGAGCCAACGGGAAAGTATTGAAAGACTGCCACCAGTCCTGTTCTGAATATTTCTGGGCCGCGGAAATACTATTTGTTCAAACAAACTCTGCCTCCACTGCAAGCAAAACTGCACTTCGCAAGTGGCAACACTGGCTGGGCAGTTTCCAAGGGCCCCGCCATCCAGTTCGCATGCTCGAAAGCCTTGCGGCCGAAAGCCAATAGCCGGGACACCACCTCGGCAAGCGCCGAAGTGTGATGAGTTCCTTGGGTTCGGCCGTTCGGCCAGACCAGGCACAGCCTGGGGTGCCACTGTTTGGACTCCGAAACCACGCGAGCCCGCGCACCCGCGCACTCGCGCACTCGCGAGCTCGCCTGGCGCGAGTGTCCTTCCGGCTGCAGCGGGCTCATGAGGTCCCCCCGCAGCTCGCGGAGCCTCTCGCCTCAGACGTCTGAGGCGCGCCCTTCGGCGCGAGGTTGGCGGGGAACGGGCCCAAATTTGGAGGACCCCTTGCTGGCACGGGCTGGAGCGAAAAAAATCCCCATGGCGCCAGTTTTACTGGGAACACCCTAGAAAAAGAGAAGAAAAGCAAGGCTTTCAGCAGCTTCCCCGTCCCAGCATCTCTCATGTGAACAACCTTCCCGTCAGTGATACCAAAGCGAGCCCCATCCGACCGTGGCAAAGCTTCACTAGAAGTCCCTTGGCCGCAGAAAGTGGACCCATCACTTTTCCACGGGTTCTCCACATCCAGCAACGTAAATGCAAAAATGCAACTTGCCCCGTGCCAGGGGCGCTGATCAGCAGCCCCACAGGCGTCGGCCCGTGGATCGCCAGCTCACGACCCAACGCCTCCCCGGCGATGGCCTGGAGGTCGTCGGCCATGGCCTGACGAGGAACGAGCGCGGCTGACGAGGGCCACGGGGGATCCCCAAGTCCGTGATATATCTGGGCCGTCCTCAGATCCCCCGCTAAAAGTGACTAACTTTTAGCAGGTGAAATGGACCTCCTCAACGGACATCAGGACCGACCCCCATATCCCATTGCGTGAGTGAGGGGGCGACCCTTCTGCGATATTGTGGAAGAATGACTCGCAAAGGATGCCACACCTAAAGAAGCGGTAACCTTACCGTCCAATGTAAACATGAGAACCAGTGTTGGTTCAGCCGTTTTGGTTGAAATGGCTTCGGAACAAGCAAGTTATGGCGGGCTTCAGAGTCTCTTGCTCAAAGGGACACGTTTCTTTGGCTTCATTCTGGCAATCCAACTTTTGAGCAATAGGGTTCCAATTCGTGAGTCTCTTCATTTCGATAAAAGAATTGGGCGGTGTGGGGGAGGAATGTTGACCATGCATGGCCTTGTGAACCTATTCGTTGACATTCGTTGAATGCTTGAAGTTCCGATGGATGGGTGTGATGGTCAATGCAACCTCAGAGCCTAACTCAGTCTCGGGTTGGAGGATCGCTTGGCGGAATGACTTGGCACTCCCCTCGGCGATCCAGACCCGAGACCCAGCTTCTCTGATGGGAAGTGAGTCGTGTTGCATCTGACACGCCCCTTCCCTTACGCCGAGTTCCCCAACATGGATGGTTGGAACACCTTCAAGCATGATTGGTGGACACAGACCCTTGCATTCTTCGCGCAGATCTTCGACTGCAACTTGATCTCTGCCGCAAAGCGCGGGCACTCTCGAAATCCCGCAGCTCGCGCTTGCGATGTCGCTGAGCTGAACTTTCCATCTGGGACGATCTCCTTTAGATTCGCCATGGAATCTGTGACGCGCTGCGGTCAATTCAGGAGAACCTCTCCCAGTTCCGCCACGACCCATGCAGCAACAGTTCCGCCCGTGCCCGAAGTGGTGCCGGTGATCACAAAAGCCATCCACTCGTGGAAGCTCCCTCTTGAACTTTGGAACCACTTGGATCCCGGATGGCGAATCAGGTGTGATCCCTTCAGGAAAACTATGAACCAGCTTGGCTCCATGTCCCGTGAGTTCGATCTCCAAGCAATCAACCTAGTGCATGGATCAACCTGGTGCAAAACCTAGCTTAGCACACCAGCCCACCAGCTGTGGAAAATCAACTAAATGGCGATGTGTCAAAATAGGTGCTACCCAACATGGCTGTGCTTCCTTTTGGCTTCCCTGTAAAACATACATCCACTAACTTCTCCTCCAAAAGCCTCAAACAGGGAATGCCCCAGGGTGTGGGAATGAACTGTTTTGGGATTCCCTTAAAGGAAACCAAAGCGGGGATGGTGCTCTTCGGGGTCATTCCATCCAACTCATTCCCTGCCGATCGAACGGATCGCAAGCTCTCCATCCGACTTCTCGCCTCCAGCGCTTCTGGGACCTCCCCGAAGATGCCGCTGCACAGTGCCAGGTGCCGCAGCGCCGCCGCCATCAGCTCCCAGGCCACCCGGTTCAGCGCCTACACCGGGAGGAGAGGTCTACAGAAACGGACGCTTTTGTGAGCATCACTTGCAGTGTGTGTTTTGTCCTCCAAACCTCAGCAGCCACGGTTTTGCAAGCTTCAAAGTCCCTCTTAGTCGGATGGATCTCACGGGAAGTCCCGGTTGCTGAGCTTGGCAAGAGGAAGAATCAACCAGAAAAGGCAAGGGAAAGAGGGCCAACTCACTGCCGTGGATAACATCCCAGTATGCATCCCAGTCCCGGATCGCTCCGCCTCGCAGCTGAGGGAAGTCAGGTTCAAGTTGGGCGTCTCCCAACAAACGCGGCGGGTGTTGTTGGCATAGCCGAACTGGGACCCGAGGCCTCTCATGATGCCTCACGTCACTCACGCCACAGTGCCTTCCAAGCTCGGGTTTGCGCTTGACGTTTTAACAAACTCGCGCGTCCTTTACACTTTGAAGGAAAAAGGGGTTTGAGGGCATCTCAACGCTCCGTGATTCGCTCTGGCTGCCAACATTGATGCATACTTCCTGAAATTAAATGATCGCATGGGAAAGTTGACGAACATTAATGGCAATTGATGTCGTCAGGATCCACAAGATGGTGTTGACTCAGGCCCTGGCCAACGCATGTCACCGTTTGCTGCTCCGGATCTCCCTGCTCTTTCTGTGTGGAGCCCAATCCAAAGCTCTCCAGCAGCTGCGAGACGCAGTCATCCAGGGCCTCTGAGGCGAGTTGTCTCAATGGATGCAAGGTGACCAACCTGGAGGGCTATCCGCTTCAACCACCCAGCCGCCAGCCAACCCAGGCTGAATGACGGCTCCCCAAAAAACGAGTCAGCTTCGCAACCGTCAATCCTGTCCGGAAGCTGTTGTGTTGGACCTCACAGGATAGCAGGGCTTCCCTTCGAAGATGGATGGCACGCCGGAGCAGAAGTGTCTTACCATCCAACCCCCCCGACCCGCAGACTGAAATATTCTGCGCACAAGGCGCAGTCCAAAGGGCAACTCACGTACGGCAAAAAGAGCAACACAAAACTAACACGGCTTCACTTGTGAAGCCGTGAACTAACACTAACACAAGCAGTGCCGCAAATGGTTCATCAGCGAGTAGAGTACGTAAGGGTCCGTGCAAACAGACCTCTGGCGCGATCTTGGTGGTGGTGGCTCATATTCAAATCAGAACGGAGGTCCGACTGACTGAATTATTGAGATCCCTCGTACCAATCACCCCATCAGATCGCCAAGGCTTGCCTCTCGTTCATAGAACAAAGTAATATACAAGTGAAGTCGGCAAAACAAACCCCGCACCTCCAAATCGTCTACATCCCTCCGCACCTTGTTTTTCCAACCTGCCCCAAAAGTGGGTCCCCAGTTTGACATGTCGGTTCTTTTTCGGAAGACGTCCCTGGGGTGCGCCCGGTTTTGATACATTCCCACGTTGGACCTGAGCTTTGCCTGGCCTGCTGCGCTGCGAGGTCTGCCCGGGACCCCTGGAAGCCGAACTCGCAGGGCGCCTGGGCCTCCGGACTTTCAGGCCCGCGTCGTCTGAATCATGGCAGCTCAGAACATTGGGCGCCAGCAACCCTTTGTTTTACGTTTTACCCCCCCCTCCAACTAACATAGTACCAGACATGGGGTCCCTGCAAGAGGAACTTGATCTTCCAGGTACCGTCCCAGAGGTGCCATGTTCGTGGAAGGGAGGGTAGACTTCAGCTTGGGACCCCTCCCATCCAGGAATGATCCAAGGAATGCGAAGAATTTGGGGGTTGCGCAGCATCTGAGAAGCAGACCGCAGCCACCGTCAAGGCCAGGGCAATGGCACGCATGGCACAAGCCAGCCATATCTGCCCCACAAGCTAAAGGGTCCCAATCTTGAGACCCAAGTCTTGTCCCATGTGAAAAAGCTTCGCTTGTAGATCAGAATATCGCCCATGAAGTGTGTGCCAATGATGAAGTGCGGTCGACTCAGGCCAGCATGCTTGCCACCATGTGCCAGGGCGCATGCGTGTGTATGTGTGTGTGTGTGGGTGTGAACAAAAAGGACTTCCCTGCATACGTGGTCAATCCAATGAACTCCGAGCAGGATGGCTAAGAAGCTCATGTCACGTTGTCATGCTCTCTTGCTGATTCTTTCCTGCCTGAGCCGGTCACAACGGGCTGCCAAAAAAAACATACTTGGCACAGTGTCGCCAGAGAATCTTGAACAAACCGAAGCCAATCTAAGCAATCTACGCAATTGCATGCAATCTATAGCCAGCAATGCAAAGAAAGCAATCTGCGCCAGTCCAAAATCATCCTACCAACTCAACAATCCAATAGCCACTCTCCACTTGAGCAAGGCAAGCTGCAAGGGCCTTCTCTCCGCCATCATCGCCACGCAGGCAGCCCCGTCTCCGTGTCAGACTGACAGCAACTCAGCAACCATCGCAACACCCGCCAACCTCCAACGCAAAAGAACCATGCTGCGCCGTCTTGATCCTGGGAATGCTCTAGAAAAGGTTGACAGATGCCCCGGCCTGTGCTTTGTTTTCAGCCAAGCTTCAATGTCCACTCCAGTGAAATCGTCACTGACTGGGAGTTCGCTTCTTGAGCAATGCCTGCTCCCTTCCATCGGAAGAAATGCCGCAATCCCGTGCTGGGCACTGAAACCTCTTGGAACCTCGCCACTGACGGCTCGTGCCAATGTCTGGGACCTGCGACCCGGTGCCCTAGAAGCCGCCACTCAAGACTCCAGCTGTATGCGCTCCGGGAAATGCGCCGGAGCTTATAACACCAGCTTGTACATGCAGAAACTGGCTCACTAGCCCGAAAGCGCGCATGGTGTGCCTGTACCAGAAGTCCGCCGACCCCTTGTCTGCAAGGGCGAGGCGCACGGGAAGGGTGTCATCATCATCAACATCGTCGTCATCCATCATCTTCCTCATTCATCGTCGCCGTTGTCGTCATCATGACTGCTGGTGATGCTGAGGATGCATAGTGATAAGTATCATCGCCCGATCATCGTAGCCATCACCATCTCTTTCTATATTTTTATATTCTATACTCTTCATTTCAAGTGTGGCGTTAGAGAGCACTGGTGATGCAGAGGATGCGTCATCATGATTATCATCATGACTGCTGGTGATGCTGAGGATGCATAGTGATGATTATCATGCAATTTGAGATTCCTCGTCTTTGTTATCGTTCGAGATGCAGCGGATGCTACGATGATACTTTTCATCATCTTCCTCATCATCATCATCCTTTCTTTACTTCTTATATAGAAATCAAAAGGGACGTTAGACACCACTTGCAATGCAACGGATGCTACGATGATAGTTATCCAGGCACTGCTGGACGGTCACTATCATCTTCCTCATAGCCATCCTCGTCATCATCACCGTTGTCATCATCATCATCGTCATCATCATCCACTGTTGGAGATGCAGGGGATGCTGCGATGATACTTGTCATCGTCCTCGTTGGACATGCAGCGGATGCTACGATGATACTTTTCATCATGTTCCTCATGGTCATCATCATCATCATCGTCCTCATCATCATCACCGTTGTCATCATTACCATCCGCATCATCCACATCATCATCATACATACATACATACATACATACATACATACATATACATACATATACATACATACATACATACATACATACCGTTACATACATACCTACATACGCACATACATACATACATACATTACATACATACATACATACATACATACATACATACATTACACACATACATACATACAGACATACATACATAGATACATACATACATACACACATACATTACATACATACATTACATACATACATACACACATACATTCAGACATTACATTTTATTACATTACATTACATTACGTTACATTACAATACATACAATACATAATACATACAATACATAATACATACAATACATACAATACATACAATACAAGCAATACATGCAATACATACATTACACACAATACATACATACATTACATACATACATACACACATACATACATACATACATACATACATCGCATTACATACATACATACATACATACATACATATACATACATACATATACATACATTACATTACATACATACAGACATACATACATGAAATACATACATACATACATACATACATTAAATACATACATACCTACATACATACATACCTACATACATACAGACATACAGGCATACATACATACATACATTACATACATAGATACATACATTACATACATACATTACATACATACATACAAACAGACATACAATACAAACAGACAGACAGACAGACAGACATACATACATTACATTACATGCATACATACATACATACATACATTGCATTACAATACATTACATTACATACATACATACATACATTACATTACATTACATTACTTTACATTACTTTACATTACATTACATACATACATTACATACATACATACATACATACATTAAATACATACATACATACATACGTACCATACATACATACATACATACATACAATACATACAAACAGACAGACAGACAAACATACATACATTACAATACATGCATACATACATACATACATTGCATTACAATACATTACATTACATCACATACATACATACATACATTACATTACATCACATTACATTACTTTACATTACTTTACATTACATTACACGCATACCTTACATACATACACACACACATACATACATACATACATACATACATACATACATTACATACACACATACATTACATGCATACATACTTTACATACATACATACATACATGCCATACATACATACATTACATTACATTACATTACATTACATTACACTACATACAGACATACATACACGACAAACGCACATACATACATACAGACAGACATACATGCCTACATACGTTACATACATGCATACATACGACATACATTACATACATACATGCGCATACATACATACATACATACATACATTACATACATACATACATACATTTCATTGCATTGCATTACACTACATTACATTACACTACATTACATTACATTACATACATACATACATACATTACATACACTACATTACAGACATTACATTACATTACTTTACTTTACATTACTTTACTTTACTTTACATACATTCCATACAGTACGTACATACATACATACATACATACATACACACATTACATACAAACATACATACATACATACATACATACATACATACATACATTACATACATACACACATGCATACATACATACATACATTACATACATACATACACACATACATACATACATACACACATACATCGCATTACATACATACATACATACACAAATACATACATACATACATATACATACATACATATACATACACATACACACACATACATACATACATTACATACATCACATACATTCTTCACATACATACATTCATACGTACATACATTACATTACATTACACTACATTACATTACATACATACATACATACAGACATTACATACATACATACATTACATACAGTACATACATTACATACATTACATGCATTACATACATTACATACATTCTTTACATTCATACACACATACATACATACATTACACACATACATTACATACATACATACATACATGCATACATACATGCATGCATACATACATACACTACACTACACTACACTACACTACCCTACACTACACTACACTACACTGCACTGCACTGCACTGCACTGCACTGCACTGCACTGCACTGCACACTACACTGCGCTACACTACATTACATTACATTGCATTGTTGCACCCAACATCACAAAACATGCACATAAACATATACATATACATATGCATATACATACAGACGTAGAAACACAAGAAAGGCAAGCGATCAAAAAGGCGTGCGCACGGACAGGCAAAGAGGCAGGAGAGAAAAAGATAAAAGAAAAAAGGCAGTCTCACAGGAAGGCAAGCTAACAAACGGGCAGGCAGGCAGGCAGGCAGGCAGGCATTCAGCTAGGACCTAGGAAGACAACAGGCCAGCCGGCAACGGCCCAAAATAATTAGGGGAGGGGTCGCGCCTGAGCGGGAGGGGCCCGGAAGCACCGACAAAAATCAGCAAAACGGGCCACAAAAAGCGGCATCACCATCCCCGCGTCTCCGCATCATCCAAACCGGCGCAAACGTGCAAAACCCAGAAACAGTAACCAGCCCGAAGTAAGGCCGGAGCGGTACCTGGGGAGCACCGTTCGGGTTGGACAAAAACACAGAAAAACATCTCCGGGAGCCCTCAAAACACAAAAGCTCAAAAAAACTGCGGCAATTCACTTTACGGGGGTTATCCCCGGGGGGTCGGGAGTTATAGCCACCCGGGGGCTATGTAAAAACCAAATGCATCACCAGCGCACCAATCCGGAGTCGAGTCGCAACAAGGGGGACAATCCTAGTCAAGCACCGAACAGGGGGTTTAGACATTTCCCGAATCTTTTTGAAGTGCTTACTGCAATACGCCTGTGTCTCGTCCAGAAATTGTGAGTAGCGGAATGCCTCTTTGCGTGCCCGGAGCTTGTCGCTGACAACTTTATTGGCATCATGCTGGACAATTTGAAGGATATCATGCAGGACGTCTGGCGTAGGCACATCACGTGGCAGGTAGGCAATTTCTGGCCAAACAAGGATCCACTCAACAAAGGGAACACCATAGCCTGTGGACCTGAGGATAGCATTCCACTCTTGTTGCAAAGTTCCATGCCGGTCTGATGCACTGGGTTTGGGATTACCTTCAGCGTCGGCAATTTGGCTGTACAAGGACCGGATTCGTTGTGCCTGCCGAATGCGTTGCTTAGATTTCATATCAAAAGCTTCTTTTGGAGGCTGATAGTCATTGTGTCTAGCTGGTGGGGATGGTTTACACACAGGCACTTGGATGAGCTTCTGAGGTTGGCGTCGACCTCTGCAGTGCTTGGGCAACCCATTGCTAGGTTGGGCAGTGGGGTCCTCACGATGTTTGTCACTCAACTGCCTGCTCAACCCGTTTGGCAGATCACAAGCATCAGGGTCCTCAGTGTAGGCCTGAAGCTGATTATAATGGCTGGCAACAGCAGTACTGTCAGGCTGCAAATCGGCATAGCTTCGCGGCAACTTCCAGCGCAGGCTTGTAATTTGTTGGCGTGGAAAAACAAAATCAAGCTGCAACGGTCTATGCCTGTGGAAATCACGATCAAGTAAGACCCGTGCATCTTGCAACGAGGCGTGCAAGCGGGGATCAATCAAGATCGTGTCGTGTCGCGATCCAGGTCCAGTACCTTGTGATGAGGTACAGGTTGCAGGCAGTGAGAAACCATGGCGGCGAGTCCACAGTTCATGCAATTCAGTGAAACCTTGACCAGCCAAGGATTTCCAGACTGGCAGTTTTTGAACTAGTCTGTTGATGTCACCCCCAATGAGGGTGGGTGCGTTGTTGAGCTGCATACGTTGGATGCACATCTCAAGCAAGTAATTTGTTGCAGTGTGATTATAACTTGCCGATTGGGTGCTGCCATCTGGAAAACCGTAGAGCACAAATACACGCAAGTCAAAAGTCTGGAGGCGGATATAACCTTCCAAAATACGGGCGGTGCTTTCCAAGGGCCCGGGAAAAGGTCACGGGTTTCCCGAAGTGGCAGTGAAGACGCACAAGCAACCCCACACGCAACCCCTCTCAGAGAATGGTCGTGGGTCACCTCATGCATAGGTGCAACTGGGGAACCCCAGATTGTATGATATCCAATTTTCCGAAAATTCAATGTCTCGACATCCTGCAGTTTGGCAGTAGCTGCAGTTTCTGACAAAAAACAATGTCACCGCACTTGGCAATCATATCTGATTTATTATCCACAGAAGTGGGATTTACTACAGCTATTTTTACAATATCAGGCTGCGGGGGTCGAGGTCCAGGGTTGAGGGCCTCCCCAACACGGACCCAAAGGCCATGCTGGTGCGCTATCATGAGAACAATTCAATGCGTGCTCAGTCCAATCAATCATTCGACATCTGCATGTGTGGCACTCAGCAGGACTGCATCCTTTTTCCCCCCAACAGAAAAGTAGATTGGGCCGACCAGTGCTTATTAGCACCAGGTCCGCGCGCACAGCACTAGCAAGGAGATCTGGCACACTTTCAGTGAGGCAAGAAATCAAGGGTTTGCTGCGGTAGCGCATTGGCTGTATGACCCCAGGCAATGCATCTGGCAAATGCTTTGATTCCCTCGCGCAAATGAGGATACAAGCAGGCAGCGGCAATTGCCATGTTCACATGCAGGTGCTTGGAGCATCATGAGCCAAGGCCAACGCCGTTATCGCTGCCATCTGTTTTCCGCTCCTTACTACTAGCAAGGAGCAGCTCCCTGAGTTCCATGAAGCACGACTGCGTTTTGGCTTCCTGCTTGTCAGCAGACTCCTTGACGAATTGGATCACATATTCCTTGAACTCTTGCTGGCCCTGCTCAACACGGCCAATGGAATGCTTCAAGGCATCGAGTTCAGCGCAAGGAGAACATAAGAGACGGTTTCAAGGCCTGCACACGCGTACGCGGATCAATCTCCGCGCAACCCCGGCCATGGTGAATCCTCGGGTCAATCATCTCGGATCGCGTGCTCAGGGCATGAAACTGTCTCTTCTGTCCCCCCCTCTTCTAGCAAATCAAAGTCAACCTCGGAACGCACTCCCTTCTACGACTTTCTGCGTCCTCCTCCATTGCCCGGCGGCTGTGCCAGTTTCCGCTTGAAGCAGCTCAGGGGTCATATCCCAATAGGCCGGCAGGTCGGCAGACAGACGCACAAGCAAGAAAGCACGCTGACAAGCCATCGCCCGGGCACAAGCAAGCGAGCAAGCAAGAAAACAGGCAGGGCAGGCAGGCAGGACAGCACGCAGGCAGGCAACAGGCGAGCAGACGAGCAGAACAAGAAGACCTGCAAACAAACAAGCAAGCAAACAAGCCGGCGCGCAGACAGGCACCAGGCAGGAGAAAGAAAAGCAGACAAGCAGTCACACAGGAAGGCAAGCTAACAGACATGGTGTCGGGTGGCGAGTTGTGATCTTGACGCACGGCGGGCGGCGGGTGTCGGCGGCTATGATGTCTGACTCTCCGTGCTGCGATGTCTGACTCTTCGCGCGGTGATGTCTGACTCTTTGCGCGGTGATGTCTGACATTTGGGTCTCTGACTTTGTGGTTGGATGTCTGAATTTCTCCTCGCTGTTTCAACATCAACCCACTCAAAGCAGCACCCTTTAGTTGGATTTTCCATACAAATAATTTTCCAACCAGCTTTTCGCGAAACAGAATGAACCCTCCAAACCACCCCAGCGCCGATTTGGGCCTTTCGACCCAATAACTTTGCGCTGGAGAACGATTGACTAGGGCTCTCAGACCGACAAAAACGGCTGGCCATGAGCCAGCGCGTCCCGCTTCAGCTCCGCAATCTCGAAGCGCCCCACCGTGGCGCATCGGACAGGCGCAAAACGCCGATGTGTCTGTGTGTGTGTGTGTGTCTGTCTGTGTCCGTTTTTGGGAAGGAAGTCCCCAAACAAAGGAAAGAAACCCAACCGCAAGCACACGCAGGAACGTCGCAAAAAAAGGAAGTCTTGTATGTTGGTTTGTGAGGTAGCCCTTGGGTCTGCGGATACTCGGGCTGCCTTTGGTAGTGTTTCTTGTATTGGGGGGGGAATTTCCTGTATTTTGGTCTCTGAGGTAGATTCCGGGGTCTGCGGATACTCGGGCTGGTAGTGGCTTGTGAGGTCCCCCCGAACACAAAAACAAAGAAGCCGCCCGAGTATCCGCAGAGTTCGGGGTCTACCTCACACACCGACATACAGACGGTCCCCCAAAAACACAAAAGCGAGTATCCGCAGACCCCGGGATCTACCTCAAACACCAACATGCAGGAACGTCGTAAAAAAAAAAAAAAAAAAAAAAAAAAAAAAAAAAAAAAAATATATATATATATATATACAGGCAAGTCCCCCAACAACAAAAACACGAACCAATACCAAAAGGCAGCCCGAATATCCGCAGACCCCGCAGTCTGCCTCAGAGGCCGACATACCGGAAAGTCCAAAAAAAAGCAAAGGAACGCTGCCCAAAAAGAAAGCCGGCCAAAGCATCCACAGACCCCGGGGTCTACCTCAAAGGCCAACATACAGGACAGTAACCCCGCGGGGGCGGCGGCACCGGGCGGCAGCCCTTAAATTTCTTGTGTGAGACCAATGGTGCTACGACGGCGTGAGATTGGATGCCTCAATTCAAAGGTGGCGTTCTCCCATGTGCCAATCAAAGTTCTATGTTTGCAAGTAGTCTGACTGATCACTGTGTCAGTAAGGCCACAAACTGTCACTGCTTCTTGCGTCCATCTGCGCCTTGGTCTTCCCACTCTTCTGTGCTCTACTATTCTAGGTTTTAGAGAGCCGATAGCGAGCTTTAGTTGAGCATCGCCCTCTTTTCGTACAGTACTTTAGCCAATGGGCAAACTGTCCTTTAGTAGTCGTGCTGATACAAATACTCAAATTGTCCAACAAACCATCCTACTTTGCAGTTTTCCCGATACGAGAAGAAAAAAGTATGAAGCCTGCAAAGGTACCCTTCCTTCCACTAACATAGCACCTGTGGGAGGGCTCCTGTAAGATCTAGTTCCTCTTGCAAGGACCCCCTGTCAGGTGCCATTGCAACGTGGGATGGAAGCCATCCCGCAATTCCCCCCCCCCTCCCCCGCTTTCACTTTTCTGCAGCATGGCCCAAGGGGCCTTCTCCTCTCGCGGCGCGCCGTTTCGCGCGCGTCAAGAGCTCAGCCGGGAGGAAGTTCTCCTCGTTGCGCGTCGTGGTTCAGATCTCGAGATCGGGCTGCAGGACTTTCAGCTGGCCTCCAGATTTTTAACCGCCTATATACTCCAAATTGGAACATGCTTGTGGTGATTGACCACCTATATACTCAAACTTTGAACATGCTTATTGGTTCAACCACCGTTGGTTGACACCCTGTTTGCTTTGGGGAGAGGTGACTTGGCGTGGCCACGCGGCCCCGCCTCCAGGGATGCCATCACGGCCCGGAGCTGCAAGACTTCGGGGTGAGCTGAGCCCAGCAGCCGCTCGCGGATGAAGAGCTCGCCTCAAATGGCGGGGTGGGGTCGGGGTGCTGGGGTGGGGTGGGGTCCGGGGGGTTGGGGGGTGATGGTGGGGTGCTGGGGTCCGGGGGGGAAATAAGGGGTTGGGGGGTGATGGTGGGAGGGGTGGGGTGGGGGGTGGGGTGGGGTGAGGTGCGGTGGGGTGGGGGGTGTGGGGTGGGGGGTGGCCCCAAGGTGTAAGGAAGAGCCAATGCGGCCCAAAGACTCCAACCACATCCGAAACAACTGAGAGGCTCTAACTTGCCTTCCAGCCGCGTCGGTAGAAGTCCACGGCTTCCCGCGTCTGCCCCAGCCGGATCATCAGTTCCGCAATGCCGTCCAGGGTGTCCGCCACCTCCTCGCTCTCCCCTTGGGACCGGGTGAAGATCCCCAGGGCGCGAACGTAGAAATCCAGGGCGCCGTGCAGGTCGGCCAGCTGCTCGCGCCGGCCCGCCAGGTTGTAGAGGATCTTCCCGATGTGGGAGTGCTCCGACCCAAAGAACCGCTCCCAAATCTCAAGAGATCTGCACGCAAAGCGCAGGGCCTCTCAAGGGCATCCGGCTCTGCAACGGGCAACGTGTTCGATTTTTCGGGTTCTCCAAAACATCCCAAGCCTCCTCTATCTGCCCAGAGCGGTCCATCAGATTCGCGATGCAGTCCAACGTTGTGGCAACATAGAAATGATTCGGCCTCAGAACCTGCGAAGATGCGTGTGCAGGGCTCACCCGCTGGCGGGCCCTTTTGCTTGATCAGTCGAGGAAAACATAAATGCACCCCCCTCCAACAGTCCCAGCCATGTTGGACTTGCCTCAACACCCAAGCACGAAAAGGTCCCAAATGGTCCCAAGTGGACCCCCCCTCACCTGCCTTTTCGCGGATACCTAGAGCTCGCAGGTAGAGCTCCAATGCATCAGCATGGCCCATCGCCTCCTGACGCATCCATGCGTGCGTGAAACAACGCTGGAAGGAAGTTTGGATCCCAATCCTTTAGAGCAGCCATGCTGTGAAGCGTTGCAGCAGCCGTGGGGTGGTCAGCTGCGTGGCTTTCCACTCTGGCCTGAGCAAGCGCAGAAAGCAAGGCGCAGGCAGCTGAAATTCTCGTCAACCTCCCAGCCCTTCAATCGCAACACATCCAAGACAGACTTGACTTCCAAGCAGCGACTCTCGCGCCAAAGAAAGCTTTGAACCACTCTACGCATCTCGTGCTTCATTGCATCAAGCCCCGTGCCAAAGCTTGACTGTGCAAGTCCAAGGCTTCCTGGCGACTGGGCTCCCTTGCGGGTCATCCAACAATCCTCTGAAGGTGTGTCCCGGCACTTCGAAAAACCGGCCACCAAGTGGGCAGCGGCACTTTCTGCGTTGAAAGACCAATCCACAGATACGGCAAGAGCAAGGTTTGCCACACCCACGGAGACCATAGCGGCCAAAGTAGCACAACCGCGATCGCACTCACTGTTCTCTGAACTGCGCAGTGCGGCGACGCTCGCTCAAAATGATGTCAAACTCCGACTGTGCAATTCCGGTCCTGCATCTGTCCTTCGAGAATCACATCAGCGGCCATCATGCCCATGCGGCTACACGCAACAACTAGCCGGCCTCGTTCTGCTTTCAGCTTGGCCACAGTGTTCAAGGTGGCAGCTTCCTGTGCAAGACTTTCTGGTTGGCTGGCAGAGTGTAACCAACCAGTTGGCGTGTCCGGCAGTTCAGAACACTCCCCAAACAAACAAAAAATGCCGGCAAAAACCTCACCAGCCCTTGGCTGCAAGAATCCGTGGCAAGAATCAGTCCTGCAGAGCATCCATGGGTTGCGCTGCCTTTAGCGACTCCCAGTCACCTGGCAACAAGAATGTTTCGTGATCTGTGTAGATGTCCCTGGGAGCAATCAACGCTCAAGCGCTTGACACAAAGTCATTCACTATCATGTTGCGCAAGTTCCGTAGAGCACACATGTGTTACATGACCGTTCAAACAGAAAGTCTAAGCAGATAAAGATTGTGCAAAGTTCATACATGAACTATCTCGCCGACTGAGTGCCCTGCCCACCACGCAGCCGCTTCCGGCTCCGAAGAAATGCTTGAAGACCACATCCTTGTACTCCACTGTGGTGCCTGCGAAAATTGCAGAGAGCAAGGCCACTCTTGATATAACATTCCATGAAGCCAGGATTCGTGACAAGCTGTTGCTCTTGGACTTTGCTTCAAGCTGGCTGCATCCAGGCTGCCGTCAACGCCAGCGTTCAGCAACATGTCCTTGCGATAGCAGGCTTCAGAAGCCGAGGTTGCTCCGGCAAACAACTCCTTCTTTAGCTCCTTGAGCCTTTTTACATGTTACACCTTCGTCCTGCCTCACCCACGAAAAAATGGAGCACATCTTGCCCACTGGATACTTTTTGCTGCACCGGCCAGTTGCCAGCCTCCAGCTCTGCTTCGCTGAAGACATTTCCTGACACAGCTCCCTAAGCTTCAGGCCTTGAATCCACCCGGACCAAACCCTGCCTGACATCCTCATGATGTCCACCAGCTTTTGGACAGAGATCCTGCCAGTGCGATCCGGGTCAAAGACCTGGCGGCGAATCCCCAAAGTCAAACATAAAGCAACACAAATCCAAACAAATCTGGGGCTGTCAAACATGGCGACCCGGACACCCCCCGATTGGGTATCATGTCACATTGTGCCGCCATTATGAGGGGGGGTCGAAAAGGGGGTTCACAATTTTAGACAACTCCCCAAACGAACAGAGCGCAAGTCAGCTGAGAGGATTCAATCCGATTCCCATGAACTTAGTCCTTGACTCAAATCTGCTTGATGCATCTCGGTGGCTCCTTTTCGTGGGGATTCCGCTTGTGCAAAACTTTTGTGGGGATTCCACGCAGCTCAACCAGGGGAAAAGAGGTTCACACAACTAGGCGGGTCAACCGTCTCCTGTATCCCCGCCAAGCAAGCAATCCCTTCTGCAATTCCAGAGAGGCGCCAAAAAAGCGAAACGCCCCAAAAAAAGAGAAGCCAAACAAAAGATAGATGCCAGAACCAAAACCAGTACAGTCCCCAAGAAAAATAGAAGAAAAAAAAAGAGAGAAAAAGAAAAACGGCGCCTGGAAGTCTTGGAGAAGCTGCTGCGCCTGGTCTCTGGCCAGCCACCGAGCCAGCAGCTCCTGTGCGCCAGTCATGCGCCAGTGCGTGCCGGCTCAGTGCTGCAAAAACCCGCCGATGCCCCGAAGGTCCAACGGTTCCGGCTGTGCTAATTGGTAGGGTGCCTCGTGGCTTCCTTTCCAAAGGACAGCGGCTTGTTTCTGCCAAAGGGAAGTATGGCAAAGAATCGAACTTAGGGTGGACTGTGTCTCAACCATAAACCCATGTTTGGATAAGCCGTTCCAGGTCAACTGCCTGCAAAAGCAACACCTTGTTTCAACAGCTGCCATTGCCCGTCCTCCATTTCTTTGCAGAACTCCTCATATCCAATGCAGCCGCCGAATTTCCGTTGCAGTTCCGAAGCCTTGGATTCAACGCGGACCCAGATCTCCGGTCCGGAGAAATTCTTAACACTGAGTCATACGAGTCATAACCCAAGCGCACGCCAACCTACTGCGTAGCTTTGGCATAAGCTCACTCACCCTAAGATGCTCAAGTCTGACCACTGGTACTCATCCACAGGCAGCCAAAGCGTTCCTTGAGCCTCTTGAGTCCATTAGACCTGCACCGCTTGGGACCCATTGCTGGTGAGCCGCTTGCTGATCGGTGGGGTTCATGCCCAGCAAGCGCATCGCCTGCGGCAGAGCGCACGGCTCGAAGCCGTGCTCTCCTTGGAATTGCTCGAAGACCTCGCGGAAGGAAGCCTCAGCTTGAAGGGCACTCCTTTTGGAGTGGGTTTAAAGGGAAGCCAAAAGGACACCAACAATTTGCTGTTGGCCCCTATTTCAAGAAGTTGCAGCTCGCTATACTCCAAAAAGACCCCCTGGAAGAGCCAATGGCTCCAACAGCCCAAGTAGACCCTCGGCTATGAGATCACATTGGCAAAAAGACCCCTCAACCCTGTAGAAATTCTTTAACCTGTGACACAAGGCCAGGCATCCGTCTGAAACCTCTAGGGCCCAGCAACGTTCATCCATTCCAGCACCAATGTCAGCTGCTACTACCATCGCGCCAGCTCACACATTGTCGTGCTCACGCATATCTGCAACATGATGTTTGGAACATGCTCCAAGTTAGTTGCGAACACCTGCTGAATAACAAACAGCTACCCCTCAACGAGCATCTGAAACAAAGCCCGAAGCCTATTCCTGGGAGCCTGATCAATGGCGTTTCCTTCCTCGGGCGGGATAACATTCTGCACTCTCTTCCCGGCTTAAAACGAATGGCAGGGACCACGAAGAGACCTTCCGAACTAGTGCGGTTCTCAACAAATTTGAGCCAATTCAGCTGGCTGCCATGCCTGAGCAGTGACGTTTCGACCAAATACTTGATAGTTATAGAAGAACATGCACTGCTCCAACCTAAACCACCCAACCTCGACACGACAGGTACGCTCTCCCTTTTCCATCGCTGATGCGAGCAGCGCACTGCAGTGCACGGCTTCAGCTATGAGAAGGCTCTATTAACCCCCTGGTGCAACAACAAGTGTCACGCTGGAGTTAAATCTCGATCAATTCTTCGCACAGCGGTGCCGAGGAGTGTGAACGACTGGAGCACTGCGCGCAAGCGTCATAGAAGAACATGCACCGCCCCTCGACACAACAGGTACGCTCTCCCTTTTCTTTCTGGGTTGCGCTGGAGTCGCTAGCTGATGCAAGCGGCGCGCTGCGGCTGCAGCTATGAGAAGGCTCTATGAAAAAAACACTTTAGTGTCCAGCACAACCCGGCTTTCGCTGAGTTCCCCCAGCAATATGATAATGCGGCTTGTCGACCCCTATTTCCTGAAAGGTCTCAGGGCCTCTTGCGGCATCGGTTCTGGAGTTGCGTGAGAGCCCGCGTGCGTGCATTATAGTGGAATTCGTCGATGCGAGCACACGGCTTCGAGTCGCACAGAAGCAAGTTCATCGCCCCTCGCCCGAAGTTCATCGCCTGGTTGAACGAGGACACATTTCGGCAAAGGTCAAGTTCATCGCATCTGTGACACGGTTCATCGCTTCCGTGTCAGCGGCTTCTGTCAGCGCGCAGCCTGGAACCAAACCCGCCGCGCTGCAAAGATATCTTTCTTCCAATGGCGCTACGGAGCCTTCCTCCCGGCTGGGGTGGTGCTGGGGTGGCGCTGGGGTGGCGCTGGGGTGGCGCTGGGGTGGCGGTGGTGTTAGAATCTTGGTCACTGCTTCAAGCCTACAAGGACAAGCAAGGAAAAAAGCATCCGACCGAAGCAAACTCGACACGCGCTTTTTTACTTGAGCGTTGCTTAGAAGTGCAGGCTCTGAGATGCAGGTGGAGTGACGATGCGCGTCCACTCCATCTTCCTGCATCTCATGCGGAGCCTGTCGGAATGCCCCCTGTGGTCAACATTGCGTGTTCGACCATCACACAGGGTGTTTTACCCACGAGGTGTGAGACAAATAGGAGGTATGTGCACATCGGAATGCAGTGCGAATAGGTGTGCATGGGAGGAATGCGTCCTCCTGAAGGGGACCAGGCTGGTCCGACAGAATGCCGATGGCATTCAGCGATGTGCGACTGCGTGCACAGCATGGGTTCAAACTGGTGTGGCCAACGAGGAATGCGTCCTCACTGCATAGGCTTAAACTGGTCCTGCGGGATCAGTAAGCCGACAACATGCTTGATGCTGGAAAGCTTGCTGACAACGCGTGTTCAGCAATTAGCTATCAGGCCTCTTTGCACAGGCAAGACGGGTCCTGCGGGATGCAGCAAGCCAACAAAATGTTGGAAGCGGGAAAGCTGGCAACCATGCGTGTGCAGCCACCCCGCAATCAGGCCTTGTGGAAGCTGGTTTCCACCTGGGCCGTGAAAGGGTGGGAGGGTGGGTTCAAAAAGAACGAAAGAGGGGTCAGACCCTCAAGGCATGTCCCTTACTAAAGGGCTTGAAGCAGAAACAGCCACGCGGCCGAAGATTCAACCAAGATTAAAACACAGGGGAAAAGACAAACCCCTAGCGTTAGAATCTTGGTCACTGCTTCAAGCCTACAAGGACAAGCAAGGAAAAAAGCATCCGACCAAAGCAAACTCGACACGCGCTTTTTTACTTGAGCGTTGCTTAGAAGTGCAGGCTCTGAGATGCAGGTGGAGTGACGATGCGCGTCCACTCCATCTTCCTGCATCTCATGCGGAGCCTGTCGGAATGCCCCCACTTTAGGGTTCTAAGCAAACGGTCAAATCACCTCACCCCCTCTTTAGTGCGTTTGCGATGCACTCACGTGCTCGGGTCTCCACGGTGCGTCCGCAGGGTGAAGCGTGAGAGCTGATGCGTGAGGCCAGAAATCATGCGGCCTGAATCGGAATTTGGATGCGGCCGACTCTGGAAAGCGGAGGTATTACCTCTGCTGAGTTGGTCCGCCCAGATGTTGTGCTCTCCTGGGATGTGTGACGCGATCACGGACCATTTGTGTTTGTGGGCCCAGGCGGCTACAAGTTGCACAAAGACTTGCAGGGGCCATGATGTGGTGAACAGTTTATTAACGCCTGCCTCGGAGGCCGTGTTATCTGTCCCTGTGGGCATGCACATGCCATGCACGCTTTGTCCCTCGCACGACCATGCGATACGCATGAGTGCTAGTTGAGCCAAGGTTTCGAAGCATGCGATGTAGCGCTGGGCTTCTTTGGTGAGGCACGGCCACTGCTCTTGGACTTCCTGGAATTGCCAAGTTTCTGCGAACCAAGAAACGGAGCTGCTGGTGATGAACCAACCCCCTATGCCCACGACACTGCCCTCGGCGCAGGCATCTGCGGCTGCTTTGCATGCCAGCATTGGCTTGCTTCTCAGCGGGCATGCAAGGTCCAAGTGGAAGCATTGCAGCAACCATTCTACGCCGTGTTTGCTCATCTTGGACAGGAGAGTGTGCTCCGCGGATGCGTCCGCGACGCGCACCCAGGCGGATTTGTGACTAGGCACAACGCGAGGCAGGTCAGCTGGCGTGCGAATGCATGCCCCGTGGAACTCGAGAACTTTAGAGCCTGGTGGCATGAAGATGCCGTGCACTGCTGACCTGAGCACGGCTTTGGCGTCCAATGCAGAAAGGAAGGATGGCCACAAGCGCGCATGGACAGAGATCATGCAACCCGGCGGTGAATGCAAATCTGTACACAAAGGTGCCAGCCAGGACCTGAGTTCGGGGCTCAGACTGGTTGCCCAAATGAGTAGGCCTAGAACCTGCTCCAAAAGTTTTCGCTTGACCTTCCCCGCTTTGAGCAGCTCGTGCAGCTGCCCTTTTAATTTTAAGGTTTTTTCTGGCGTGAGTTCGATGGTCTCATGCAGGAAATTAATGCGCCATCCACACCACGTGAGGCCATTTTGAAATTGAACCTTCTTCCACGAGATGCTGCAAAGAACATGACCATAAGGGCCAGCTGTGCGTGCGCATCACTGCGACGCAGTGCTGCCAAAAGGTCATCCACAAACAACCATGCACGATGTGGGTGCAGTTCCAAAATGCCGTGCAGTAGCCTCACAAGGAAAGCTCCGGTGCGCTGCCACCAGTATGCGGAGAAGCGTGCTCCGAAGTGGCAAACCCTATAATGGTACAGGATATCGGCAACACGGAACAGAAGCAGGCCATGTTCACTGGGGTGCGCTTGGATCTGCTTATGCGCCGCTTTAAAATCAAAGCTTGCCCCCACAAAGGACGAATGCGTGTCCTCGGGGAGGAATGCTAAGCGCACGTCCGAGGCCATTGGCAGGCTTATGCGTTCTGGAATGGCGCACTTGGGGTTCACCCCACACACTGTGCTGTCTAAGACTAGTCGTGGGTCCTTGCCTTCTGCATGCACGACGTTGAGCTTTCCCACTGCTATGCCTTTATGCCAATGTTGTCTGGCTTGTTCAATGGACATGCCGGTTCGAATGACCCATCCGTTTGCAATTTCCTTTTCCAGCAAGGCTGATACTGTCTCTGGTTCCGCTTCTGCGGCTTTCCAGTTGCCGATGCACTCGGTGAGCTCACTAGGCAGGTCTGCCTGAGGTTTAGGCGGCCACTGCATGCTACGTGGCAGTTCGGACACAGCTCCTGTTGGCACGCCTTCTGCCAGCAGCTGCACTAGTTTGAGGTCTGGGTCAGTGGATGCCGTTGCTAGGGCATGCAAAAGCGACAGGCGGTACGGTTGTCCTTCATCGGGCGCTAAGTCGGATGGGCACGGCATGTTCATGGCGCGGAACGCGATCCGTGCTGCCTCCTCGGACTGTTCCAAGAGAGGGGGGGATGCGTTACCGGAGCCCACATGGGCTAGAATTTTTGGGATGAGTTGTTGTGCGTCTAGCCAATGCAGCCAGGCACGCGCTACTATCGTGAGCGGGTGGTCTGGTTGAGGGATTGAGTGGTCTGCAGTCGAATGCATGCCAGCTCCATCGCATACCCGCTGGCGAAGCACCATGATTTTGAGAGCATCACGCCATGTTGGCACGCATCCACCCATGCGAGGTGTCCGTGAAAGTTTTTTAAACACTGGAAGTTTTCTGGCTCCAACCAAGCCATGCTGGACGGCGGCTGCTCGAAGATTGCCACGCCACTTTGGGAGGCGACTGCTTTGAACAGCTCTCGCCCTCTTCTGTGGATTTCGCGGCTGTCGCGAACCCGAGAGAGTTCTGCTGGTGACAAGTTCGGTGTGCCAAGCATGCATGAAGGCGTGCGTAACGCCTTTGGGCCGCCTGGTCTAAGCTTGAGCCTGGAGTATTCCTTGCACGGCGGTGCCAAGGTCAGCAAGCTAACGCTGCCAGACCAGCATATGCGCAAAAGCAACTCGAACCATGCGTCATCCAGAATGTTGTGCTGAGGATTGGCGTCCAAGTCAAAAGCTTCGAAGCGTGCAAGGCCTTGTTGGTCTGCTGCGGCGGAGATCGGTGCATGGACCCCTGCGAAGACGTCCAGCAGGAGTCCTCCCCGGGGCTTATGCAATGCGCCAGCGTCTGAAGGCGCTTGTTGGCATGCGGGAGGGAAAACAGTGAATGCGGCCGGCGTTTTTGTGGCACCGTCCGGGGAAGCTGCCGGGGCTTCCTTTGGACTGTTTCAT